CAGGTGTAATTAAAGCGGCGGGGGGGTGTGGGGTGGATATCAACATCAGGCTTTCCTAGACCTCCCTCCCACTCCCTCATCTCCGCCGCTTTCCTCGGCAGCAGCCTGATAACGCAGGTAGTGGTTGAGCTGTATGGTGGGGGGCTTTTTAATTTCTTGTTTGAGAGGGTTAGAGGGGATCGCATTGAAAGCTGTGCAATTGTAATTCTGTTTTTTATCGGTAAACATCCTCACCTTTGTTATTCCTTCTGGAGCGTATTATGGCAGAGCAGGGGTTACCCTGGAAATGTGTTGGGGTGAAGTATTGCATTTTTATGCCTTGTGTATTGTTTTGAGTCTTCTGTGCATCTGCTGGTGTTTGCCTTGGAAGAAATTGCTTTAATTTCAGTGTTTTGTTTCAGGCATCTGAATGCAGCTTCTCATGTCAGACTTGTTTGTTTGTTTTTCTGTTTTGTTTTTCTTAAAGGGGAAGATGGCAACATGCAATTGAAGGGATGTTTCAACACTAGAAGGCTGCTTGGTTTGATACCTGTGTTGTGACCTGCTAAATATCACAAAATTTTTGCATGTGAACTTTGTCCCTGCTCAGATTTGTGGAAATCTGTGCTTTACCTAGAAGTGTGAAAAGTGCAACTGTGCTAATTGTGGAGGGAGAGGATCTTGTTTTAAAAAGTTTGTTAAAAATAAATCCTACTCATAGTCTTGGTTCCCCCTTCCAATAGGAGAAGAGAAACAAGGTTAAACAAAGATGTGGAATTACCCGAAGATGAATTTAAATGTCAGAGTTCTATGTTCCGCATATAAAACATGCGTTTTATTGGAAGTAAGCTAGTGTCCAGTAAAAGTAATCATTTCAGAAGTAACTGACACCTGTCACAACTTGGAGATTCCTTGATCTCATTAGAAAAAACGTCTTCCGTGTTGTAGAGCATGGAAGAACAGCTGTTGATCATATAGCCGAGCTAAAACCAGGTCGGACCAGTTGTCCCAGTGGGGCTTGCATACGTCAGAAAGAATTTGTTGGGGATCTGAAGTGAAACACTGTTAAAGCCACAACTTTTTATTCATACTATAAATCTAAAAATGTAGATTTTTTTAATAGCAAAAAGAGCTTAAGCGGAAGAAAGAAGCAAGCCTAAGAACAAAATATACAAAAGAAAGTCAAGGGAATCAACACCCTCAGGGAAGAAAGTATTTTAATGCAGAATGTTATATAAAGCATACTGACCAAAGATAGAAGCAGCCCTATATGTGCAGATGCAACAAGTTGATGTGTATGTAATAGGAGGAAAAAAAAAATCAGATTGGCTGTTGAAACCACCTAAGCCTTCAACTTGATGTGTTTCCACTGTGAAGTAATAAAACACAATCATTTTTTCTGGAGAAAATGAAGGAGTAACTATAGAAAGGAGAGGGGTGACTTTTTTTTAAGTTTTATTAATGGTCTGGAACTGGATTGGTGTGTTTGAGACATGAATGTATTAAAATGGCTCGAGTTCTCTGCCTAAGTATGTCCTATTTTGTGTGTCCCTACAGGTAATCAGGATGGTATGTTATTTTAATAACTGAAATTTCCTTAGACTCCTGTAGCTTTTCTTTGTTTGCTCTGAAAATGAAAGTATAATTTGCTCTTGCTGAATGTAACAAATAAACCCGAACAATTTAGCTGTAGGCAGATCTTCTGATCCCAGGAATGAACTCTAAAGCTGCTGCTTCTGTGGTTATTATTGTGAGCAGAGAAAGGCATTGTAAATAAATGCATTTAAAAAAAAAAATCATGTTGTGTTTTCTGAAAAGGATTTTTTTTTTTTTGAGATATGGGTAGGGAAGTAAAGCTAGATTAATTTTGAGTGATAAGTTCTTCTATGTTCTTCTCCCCCTATAGCTTTTTCTTTAAAACATATAGAACTTTTACTACATGAAGCGTATAGCCATGCTTAGTGTAATGCACAGTCAAGGAAGGTGCTTGCTTTTCTTTCCCCCACACCAACAAGCCTGAATAGGTTGCTGGAGATGATTGTGTCAGTGAAGTCAGAAGTGTTTGTAATTCCTAAATCTGTGTCGCTGAAGAGTTTCCACATTGGGGGTTAGCTCATCTAGGACTTAAGAGGACCGAAGAAATTCCACAGGCTTCAGCGGAAATTTTCTCTGCAGTTGCTGTCTGTATTGTTAAGTGCTTTACTGATGATGGTGGCTCAAGCTCTAAAGATGAGCTGTGTGAAAGTGCATTTGCTAAAGTAAGCAAGCTTGTACTCTAGGTCAGAGTTTTTTTAACCTCTGTGAAATCAGCATCCTGATGCATATTCAAAGAAGATGTAATCTGAGATTTTTCTGGTTCTTACTGCCTGTGTCTTAGTCCCTTAATTTCCCCTTGATACTATTAGAGATAGAAAGTCTGCGTGTGGCAAGAATTCCAACAGGCAAGGTAGACTTGCACTGTTGGTTGGATTTGCAATGAAAAATGGCCTATAAGCATAGGAGCTAGAATAATCCTTTATATAAAAGGATTCAGTGAAAAAGCTGACATGCTAGTAAAGTGTTGGTAGTGTTTGAAGACAGGCATTGCACGCTTAAATTGTCTATTGTGATTTTTCCCCGCTAGTGTCAGGTACTACATGCCAGATCTGCTGCATTTTGTTTTTCATTGTTTGATTGGGGGTGGGGTGGTGGTAATGTTTTTCTGCTGCTTGTTTTCCTTAAGGTACCTAAAGATCTCCCTCAAAGTACTTCATATACAGCAGCATAATTTAGTGTTCAAGTGCATGCTCTATACCTCACCTTCCTTTATTATTCTTTTAGTTTTGGTGCGTATAGAAAACTGTTGAAGATGGGAGGTGCAGTGAGTGCAGGAGAAGATAATGATGAATTAATTGATAACCTGAAGGAGGCACAATACATCCGGACAGAACTGGTAGAACAGGCGTTCCGAGCCATTGATCGAGCAGATTACTACCTGGAAGAGTTCAAAGACAATGCCTACAAGGACTTGGCGTGGAAGCATGGAAATATTCATCTCTCAGCACCGTGCATTTACTCTGAGGTGATGGAAGCATTGGATCTGCAACCAGGGCTGTCATTTTTGAATCTTGGCAGTGGCACTGGTTATCTGAGTTCTATGGTTGGACTCATCTTGGGTAAATACCTTTTCAATCGTGTTAACTGTTTACATTAGATTTAAAAAAAAAAAAAAAGTTTTGAAATTGGGAACGAAGCATTCCTCAAGTAATGAAACTAAAAGGTATCTAGGAGAGTAAAGAATGCATTAATCCAACTGGCTAATTTATCAGGATTCTTGCAACCTTCTGTCTGGAACTGGATGGGATCCAGATTTCTGTAGCAGTTCAGAACAGGCAACGATGTAGTTGCACAGGTGGCTGTAGTGGATTCCTGCAGGACTGGGCACAAGCTTGGGTTTGCTGCCCCTTAAGCAAGAACCCAGCTCGGGAGCAGGAGCGCCATGTTTAAACTAGGTTTGAGCACGTCTTCAGAAACCTGTGACTGTAGCTGCTCTGTGCCTTGTTTGTTTTTACAATGTCCTGCCTAGACTGAAACATGTTTGAGATCCAATTTTGACTCTTACCAACATACAGGTGGGCATAGTCTCTGGAAAGCAGTTAATGCATCAGAATTGACTTTGTGACCGCATCTACAGTAGGCACAAATCAGAGCAGCAAAGTGCAATTATACAATTGCAATTCGCCCTAAAGTATTTCAGTCAACAATTTTGCTTCTTCCGGCTGCCAGGATAGATAGCAAATGACTGTAGGGTATGTATTTTCCTTTTGTGGGCGTGGCAAGAATTTTAACTGCTGAAATGCTTGTCAGGATAGATTCTCACTCCCATTTCCTGTGGCTTTTCATGGAATCACATTTGTGGTTTTCTGCTAGGTTTGTTGAGATTACCTAGGATGCCAATATGTAACTCCAGGGCTTTTGAATTCTTTGGAAAAGTTACCAAGTCAGTTCTGAATAAAAAGAGTGAGTGCTGAACAACTTCTTTATTTTTCCAATTTATTTTTGCTGTTAATTGAGGTACAATGTGTGGTGACTGTTCCTGATTCTTCTGTGGAGATTTTTAGCATATCAGCAAGGGGGTATAAAAATAACAAAGATTTTTTTGAGGGATTTATTAAAACATGCAGGCTGTTGTTCTGCATTGGAATTTTTTCGAGCTGGTCAGTTTTACAGCAATAGTATTTCTTCAGTATCAGTGCTTCCCTCCTACAGAGGAATTTCCTGCGTAGTTAAGAGCAAATGATTCAAAATCAATTGTGCAAAACAGCCTCATTTGCTTCAGAAATTGCAGGTATAGGGTTGCAATTCCCACTGTAGTACTAAGATAGCTGACCCTACACAAGCGCTGGCTGTCTGACACTCAAGGAGCAATCTGTTCTAGGAAGTAACCAAAACCCAAAACTGTCCTGCTGCATTTTGTGTTGTTGCCTGTTACCTGTTACCTAGTGTTCTGAATTTGCAGGTCCTTTTGGTGTTAACCATGGTGTGGAGCTTCATTCCGATGTGATCGAATATGCAAAGCAGAAATTGGACTTCTTCATTAAAAGTAGTTAAGAGCAAATGATTCAAAATCAATTGTGCAAAACAGCCTCATTTGCTTCAGAAATTGCAGGTATAGGGTTGCAATTCCCACTGTAGTACTAAGATAGCTGACCCTACACAAGCGCTGGCTGTCTGACACTCAAGGAGCAATCTGTTCTAGGAAGTAACCAAAACTGTATTCGGTCCTGCTGCATTTTGTGTTGTTGCCTGTTACCATTATCCTAGTGTTCTGAATTTGCAGGTCCTTTTGGTGTTAACCATGGTGTGGAGCTTCATTCCGATGTGATCGAATATGCAAAGCAGAAATTGGACTTCTTCATTAAAACAAGTGACAGCTTTGACAAGTAAGAATGTGGACTGCCCGTTTGGATTCATTTTGTGCATTTGGCTTTAGTCGTGGCAGTTCTTGTTCCCATGTGGCAGTTCTGGATTCAGGGTAATCTGAGGATTCTGGCTCCTTAGGCTTCCTGAACTGCAGTGTGTGACCTTCTAAGCTGATGTGTATTGGGGGGGAGTTTCAGAAATTTTTGCAGTGTTTTTAATAGCAGTGCTGCTGTTGCAGAGCTTAGAGGAAGCTGAAGAAGGTTGTTTATTTTAAAATGCGCTTGCAGGTAACAACTTGAAACTTGCAAATAACAGTAATAGTTATGTTTGTGATACGAGAGCATGCATGGTTATCAGAAGAATATGAACTGATTTCTCTGGTGGCCCAATGTTTTATCTGAGAAGAAGAAAAATGGTGTTTTAAAATATGAAGGTAGTTTTATGATGATTAAGTTGGTACTAAAACTGCTTGGGATTTGATTTATGTTCTTCCTTAGAACCTCCATTCTGCTGCTGTCACAAGTAATAACTTTCCAGCAAGAAAACCATTGCCAATAGTAACCTCAGCAATAAAAGTTGTAGCTGTCATATTTTTGGATCCGTCTCACAGTTTGTTCAAACAAGGAAGTAAAGCATCTCTGGATACTTGATAGTCCTCTCGTGGGAGGAAGAAAATTAAAGTCATTACATGCTAGAATTTAAACTACTCAGCCTTGCGCTGTTGCTGCTGTACTGGAAAGCTGCTGCTGAGAGGGCTGTATTTTCTTGACGTTGGCAGCAGACCGAAAGTTTTCAGCGTGGAAGGTGCTTGCGCATAGATGACTGGGTTTTTTTCAGTCACATTGCTATTGTTTGGATAGGTGTTTTAAGGAAGACTTTTTTTCTCTCCAGACAAATATAGCTATGGAGCAAAAGTGAGCTGAATTCGGAAACCGACATGACTGGAAAATTGGCATGGCTGAGAGAAATGGCTGCTGGGTTATGCTATTAGAACACCGTGTGCAGGAACTGCTAGCTGGCTGCTCTGAATGTCTAGCATGCTTTGCAAAAGCAGAAAGCTTCAGGAAGTGTTTAGGAATAAATAGGTGCTATATTGAGCTGTCTTTCAAGATACCAGTAGAAGACTGGAGATGTTGTACAACTTCTATCAAAATTAGCCCTTAAACGTGGGGCTTAAGCTAATGTAGATTTGGAGCATGTAAGAAAACCAGAAGCATCATAGAATTACTCATTTTTCTTCTAAACTGAATCAGAAATGCTATAGGCAAAAATTCTTTTTATGAAGGGTGAAATCACAGTTCTCTTGAAGCAGTGGCAAAACTTCCATTGGCTTCAGCAAAGCATATTTCTGAAGCATCAGGTTATAGTTCCCCACAACATCTGAAAACCATTTAAAAGCTTTTGAAAATGCCAAAACCCCCCTGGTGCAGTCCTTAAAAGGCTTTAACATTTGGAATTGCAGGTCTAATATTTATATTTGTGTATTATAACTGAGTCAGCATCAGGTGACTAAAAATAGCTCGTTCTGAAGAGTTGTGTATAACTCAAGTATGAAATTGTGCATCCTTATCCTTTGGAGATTTTCATCTATGAATTCTCACCTCATTGTTCTGTGGTTTTGAGACTTCTAGCTGTGGTCTGTTCTGATAATGTCTAGAATACACGGGCTTCAGAGGAGAAATCCTGTGAAACTGGGTTTTTTTCAAGTATTTTTTATTGTTTCATTTTTTCAGAATCATGAAAATAATTCATTTGATAAATTGCAATATACTTGTATGATACACATCTTCTTCATTTTCAGATTTGAATTTTGTGAGCCGTCTTTTGTTACCGGCAATTGTTTAGAGATTTCTCCGGACTGTACTCAGTATGACCGTGTTTACTGTGGTGCTGGAGTACAGAAGGAACATGAAGACTACATGAAGAACCTGTTGAAAGTTGGGGGAATTCTTGTCATGCCTCTAGAAGAGAAGGTTGAGTGCCTTTCTACTCACGTTTCCCTTTCAGTTACTCTTAATTCGGATCTTGGTTTAGTCGATAGCTCTTCCTTTAGTTTGCCCTTCTTGTAGCAGGTTGGAGAAAGCATTAAGTACACCAGTCTTGACTATGAGTGGAAACTGAACTCTTCAGTCTTCATGATATTTAAAAAATTCATAGTTCTACCAGTCTTTCACATATTCTGATCTTTTGTTGTTAATTGCAAATTTACTTTCATGCTGCAGAAAAATGTCAGCAAGAGTTTGTTCAAGTTATATAATCTAGTGTTGTACTTACGGTAAAATACAAAATTTTACACCCTAACTGCCTTATGAAAGAGTGTGCAGGTTGTCCCTATTTACAAGTGTCAATGGATTCTTTTTGGTAAAAAGTGGGTAACTGCCCTGTGTGTGAACTCAAGATTGTAATTCAGGTTATCTGTTTGGTGTAAAAGTGTGTTGTTTTAATGGGCTTTTATGGCTGAGGTGTAGGTGTCTGACCTCTTACCACTGTCAGGGTGTTTGAGATGAGCAGAGTGCAGAGCTTCTTCCCAGCGAGATGCTGTGCAGTGAGTTAGTGCAGGAGATTTGAGCTGTAACAGAAATCCAGTGATCTGCAGACTTCCTTCAAGAGTGAACGTTGATCAGTGACTGACATGTTTTCTCAGTGGTCGGACATAGCTGTTCTGGTTCAGAATTGAGGAAGAACTGGGAAATCAGGGTGACCCGAACTGCCAAATCCCATACTCTGTTGCAACAGATGAAGTTACTTGGGGCTAATCCTGTAAGGAGTTCTGAATTTTCTCAGAAAAAAACTCAGTTCTCTGTATTACCTAACTTCTACTGTTGTAGCTTCTAGTACTCTAACCACTTGTCCAGGCAGAAAAGTTGTTTGTTCATTTTTTGTTCAAAAATCTTACTGTAGTTCACACAATGGACAATAATCTCCTTGTTTTGGTTTAGTTGACTAAGATAACTCGTACTGGTCCTTCTGCCTGGGAGACCAAGAAGATTCTTGCTGTTTCTTTTGCTCCTTTGATTCAGCCTAACCACGCAGATTCAGGAAAATCAAGGCTTGTTCACTTGCGTGAGTACAGACATTCTTGAGTATGGGGGAGGTTTCTTCTGCTATTTGGCTATAAGCTGCACCTTGCTTCCTTAAATGTAACGTCCCTATGAATCCTTTCAAGGAAAATTACTCTAACTGCTTCCTTCTTTGAACAGTTGTTTAAGTCTTGTGTTGGATCCCAGTCTACCTTTGAGGATCTCTGCGGAGGTCTGGTGCAAGAATCAGAATTGCGTAAAATAGTTTCTAAATACAAATGATTTCTTGTGAAATTGTACCTCAAATTTGTGGGATGTTTGGTCATTGTTTTTGCCCATGCAGACATCTGTTTCAATCCTGAATTGCATACTGTCATGGTTCTCAGGCATTGTGCCATGGTGATGGGAAAATAAGTAGTACCTGTGAACAAACATTGTATCTACTCAAAGGCTCTCACTGCCCAGCAATTCAGAATTATCCTGAACCTGGAACGCTTGAGGGACAGAAGTTGTGTAATTTTTGGTTAGCTCTTTGAAATGCAGGTCGTGCGCAGTGACCTCAATCTTTAGATTAAGACTTCAGTGTAGGGAGGCCTCTTAAGAACACGTGAAGACAGAGATACTTCCATAAACAGATTAGTCAGGCTTTGTTCTTATTCTGGAAAGGTGTCTTTGCATGACAAAAAGCAGCTCAGTAAGCAGTCCATACAGTGCTATAAAGTCCACTAAGTGCATGTTTCAGCATACTTTGTACGGTGGCTTTGTAGTGAGACCTGCATATATATTACATGTGATTTTTTTCTGGTTCCTTCATTCAGGTCACAGGAATGCTTACTTGTCAGGAGAAGACAGGGTTTTTTTGTTTCATTTTTAATTCATTTTAGTACATGCACGTGTGTGCGTCAATACATTTTTTTTCTTTATGCTGCATGAGTTATGTTGTGCATTTATGGGCTGGCAGCAAATAAGTGCAGAAGACAGAACAGTCTTCCAAACCATTAATGTGGGAGGTATTTTAATACAATAACTTATTGTATGCTTCTATAATTACTTTTACCAAATGGTTTCTAGCCAGTCTTCACCCACTAAGTCTGAAGTAGTTTTTGAAGAGCATAAATAGTACTCGTTTTATAAGTGAAGAACTTGGCAAAGCTGAAGTAACTTCACAATAGAAAAATCATTTTATGGAAGAGTTAAGTAGACTTCAAGTCTAGTTATCTACGGTAGGAAAATAGCTTTTTCTAAGTTATTAAACATTTTTAGTCACTAAGTCTGCATTCTTATAATCTTTAAGACGTGTATCTTAAAATAATTGGGAGGACTTGACATCAAAATATGAAACTCTTCTTTCATCCCATTCTTTTTCTTCAGTTAATGAGAGAAATGCATAATTAAATTTTGTTTGGAAAGTTACAATACAGTTCATCTGAGTTGACAGGAGTTGAATAGAGCTGTTTTTGTAATCACAGCAGGGAATTCAAGTGGCCTGATTTAATTTGAGCAAGTACAACTTTTCCTGTGAGTACTCTTGAGGGGAGTTTCTCCATATCTGTTCATGGTTTTCATTTTGTTTTAGCCCCAGTGGCTGTCCGCAGCCTCCAAGATCTGGCTCGCATAGCCATCCGAGGAACCATTAAAAAAATTATACATCAAGAAACAATGAGCAAAAATGGAAATGGGCTGAAGAACCCCCCAAGATTTAAACGAAGACGTGTGCGTCACCGTCGCATGGAAACTATTGTTTTCTTGGACAAAGAGGTCTTCGCTAGTCGTATCTCCAACCCATCAGATGATAACAACAACAGTGAGGATATCGAGGATGAGAGACAAGAAGAGGAGGAAACTAAACCCTCTGAACTAAAGCCAGATCCCCCTGTAAACTTTTTGAGAGAAAAGGTCTTGAGTCTGCCTTTGCCTGATCCCTTGAAATATTACCTGCTTTATTACAGGGAAAAGTAATTTCCTTCTTCTAAAAAGTGGGAAGTAGGCAGAAAATAAAGTACCACTTAGGGCTTGACAAATGTATACCACTTGCTTGCCTGCTAATATGACCACCCAAGGCAGTAGGCTAGCTGGGGAATGTGGCTGCTGTATACCTAAACATAATAGCTTTTTAAAGTTTTTTTTCTTCAGTTGTGTGCTATAGTTTTATCCTACAGCAGGGATTCCTTAGGAAGCAAGTTGGTGAAATGCTCAGCTGCTTATGGAAAGGAGGATTTAATTCCCTGAAACTAACTGCACAGAGATATTCTAAAAATCTCATGGCTGCTCTACTGAATTGCAGTTTTTAAATATTCTTAAGCAGTTCCCCAAAGACCTTTGCTGTCTGTGCTCTCTTCCGCTAAACCTGCCATGTGTTTACCGTGGTGTGTGTTTAATGGAGGATGAAGATTATTAGTAAAAACTGACCTGGCAAATCTTGTTTCTTCCAGTAATCTGAAAAAGCACAACTTTTACAGACATGAAAGGAAAGAATTTTTGGCATCCGGCCTTGTGGCATCCAGGTTTTGAATGAGAAGGAAAGCATCAGCTCCCCTTTGGTTGGTCTCAGTTTTGCTTATAAACTATATATAATTTTTCAGTAAAAGGTAAAAATGTTTTACGGAATATTGGTTTTCTTAACGGGAAACACCTGTTCTAGTGAATTAGTCTAATAGAGATGCAAAGTTGTGTGTTTTGTTTTGTTTTTTTTTAAAGCGATGGAGGCAAGTGAAGAGTTGCAAAGCCGATTAGCTTTGACAGGATGCTAGGGTAGTCGGGGTTCTGACTGTTGCCTCTGTAAATGTTTACAGAGTAATTCTGAATGGGGAGGAGGGTAGAGAGGAGATGCGTAGCAGTGAGTTTGTGAAAACTGACTGGAAGCAGAATCTGTGGATTTTGCTGTTGTGTGAGGTAACTTACGTCTGCTGGGCTGAACAGAGTGAAGTGCAGAGCGCGAGCCTGAGCGGAGTGGCTTGAGTCCCGGTAATTCAGCCAAATGTAGTTCTGTGGAGGGTATGTAGAACCTGAAAACAGTCTAGAAAGCCAAACTGATGCAGTTTTTAGGTGTTCCTGTGTGTGTGTCCCTGCTGTAGCAAGGTGGCTAGAATACTTGTGTGCACATGGTCCACATATGGTAGGTGAAATGAAGTTGGTTGACTTGGCAGGTTATTTTATGTCTGCAGCAATTAAGTAGATGTTTTAACAGGCTTGTATAGAAGGACTTTACACTCTGCAGTTCTGTGGATGTGAACTCTAATTTTTATTCCCAAGTCTTTCTGTAATGGTGATGGAAGGAGATACCATGTTTAGAAGGGGAAGTTTACTTGGTTCAGCCTGTTTTGAAAAATCTACCTAAACTGGTAAAGGCTGGAAAGTAACCCTTGAGCTTGTACTGATGTGAAATACTCCTAAAGCTGGGGGGATGAAAAGCTCCCTCTCAGTAGGTAATGAAGCTATGTTAAGGCATTGCCCCATCAGAAGCACTTAAGTTGGTATCACTTTGGTAATTTTTTTTTTTTACGCTGTCTCCTCATTTTCTGAGGAGGAATGGATGAAGACTGTCTTGCCAAAAATAGCTGGGTTTTCGGAGAAGAGAAGGCTCCAGGGAGACCTTATAGCATCCTTCCAGTACCTGAAGGGTGCCTACAGGAAAGCTGGAGAGGGATGTTTTACAAGGGCATGTGGTGATAGGACAAGGGGTAATGGCTTTAAACTGAAAGCGGGTAGATTTAGATTAGATATAAGGAAGAAATTCTTCACTATGAGGGTGGTGAGGCACTGGCACAGGTTGCCCAGAGAAGTTGTGGATGCCCCATCCCTGGAATTGTTCAAGGTCAGGTTGGATGGGTCTTTGAGGAACCTGGTCTAGTGGAAGGTGTCCCTGCCCATGGCAGGGGGGTTGGAACTAGGTGATTTTAAGGTCCCTTCCAACCCAAACCATTCTATGGTTAATGGTACTGAGTTGCACAACTTGCTTAATGATAAATAGTGTTTCAAAGTTGTGCGCAGCTTTGAAAATAAACGGATAACTCTTGTACGTCTAAGCCCGAGGTGGAGAATTCTTCCTTGCTTAATAGGCTTTTTGTATGTCTTTGAGATTATCTGGTAATGCGGTGTCATGTGGCTGCTGGCACATAACACAGTCTTAGGCTGCATTTTGCCTCTGGTTTCCTAAGTCTCCACTTCTAGTCTAAACAGTACCCCAAGCTATCTTGCTCCCTCAGATTTTTATTTCTTTATTTTAAATGGGGCAGTTCTGTGGGCAGTGAGCTGATGGTTTCCTGTAAACATACAAGTACCCATCTTGTAATTCTGGCAACTACAATGAATTTCTTTCTACACATGAAAATCCTGAATATGGTGGTGAATGGAGGCTTAATAGAATCTACGTATAATATTTCTCTGTGCTTCCCCAAAGGCTGTCACCTCTGTATTTGTTAGGCATTTCTGCTTAATAGCTCATACCAGGTATGTGCCTTTCTGTGTTGTGGCACAATTTCCGTACCCCTATGTAGTGCAGGGTGCCTCTTTGGCTACCAGGTTGTCCTTCAGTTTGTTAACTACAAAACTTCTTTTAAAGGAGTTGCTTTAAAAATGACATTAAACTTCAGGTTCGTATTAGTAAACCTTGCTGAGATTCTGTTACAGCTGATCAGTTGAGGGAGAATTATCTTTCATTTAGCCCTGTTTGATTTTACCCCCATCCCACCCCCAGTTGTAAAAGATATTTTGTCAGATTTTTCACCGGATTTGCCTTTTTTATTACATTTGCTAGATTTTTGTAGCTTTCTATAAGATGCATAAAATACTGCTATTTTTCCTGGATAAGGTTGAATAAATAAATATATATACAGGAAATTTATGTTCTAGGTTGTCAAATTGTCCCCTTGTCCAAAAAACCACAGATCCAAACACACCCATAGTAGAAATTTTATGTGTAATATAATTGTGAAATAGTATTGCTTATAGCCTGTAAATGAAGGGGAACTGTAAATACGTTTTCCCTGTGCACAAGCACTTGCACTGTAGTTTTGTATGCATTTCTAATAGAGTAATTGTAGCATAACTGTTCTTGTATAGTCTGTAAGCTGTCTAGGAATTTTACCTGCTTTGATTGTTTCCTTTTGTGTTCTAAGTAGTCTTCGCTTTAATTGTACGTGACTCCGTTTAGGTTTCAATACTGCAGTAAATTTGCAAAAAGAAATTAACTTCAAGCTGCTTTAACCATTAGTGTGTAAGTTGAAAAATCTATGTGTAGAAACTAGAGTTAAATTGGCCTGAGGCATGCAAGTGTTACGCAATTTAAACTTTTATTAATAAGTGTTTCTGTATCAATAAATTCAGTAAAGACTTTTTAGCCTTCTTAACATGGCTTTGCATCATGTTGTGATTAGAATACTTTGTAGATAAGGACTTATTTTCATAATTGAAGGTTAAGACACTAGAACACTAGAAAAAGCACTTAATAATATGGTGCAGGTGCATAGTTTTAGATTAATTTGTCAGAATATAATCTCTCAAAAGAAACCTGCCCAGCTCATGATTTTTAAACCTTTATGTAATGGATTTACGCAAGATGTATTTTGGAATTAGCACACACAGCACTGATCTAGATTTAATATATCGGAACAGTTAAAGTGAATTCACTTACCTGGCTGTTAGACCTGTAGACAACAGATATCAAGAGGTCATTTAGTCCATTTCTGTACTTGAAGGAATTGCCTAAACCAAACATGTCAGGAGCTTGTTTAATGCATTCTGAATGGCAGCTCCCCTCTTGTCTCCTGTGCTCTGTTTCAGTGCTTAATTAATGCAGATTTTTTCAGAGCTGGTGTTCAAGGCTTCCATTTCGCTAGTATTGAGAATAGTATTTTGGCTTCAGCTGTAATAGGAAACTGATCATAATAGCAAATACAGCTGTCGCTAGTTAAATGTATGTGTTAACCTTTATTCCACAGGATAATTACCTGTAGTCTGTGTTTCTTCCTGTCATCTGTGTGTATGATAGATGTCCTTCTACCAGCTATAACATGAGACTAGTTCAGTGTTAATGTTTTCCTTCACGTGATGCTTGCTGGAAAAAAAAATCCTTTTCTGCTTTGGAAAGCTATGGATGTGTCATACAAATGGTATCAAGTAAATTAAATTTGTCAGATAATGTTTATGTTCACTTCATAGTAAAATGTACAACATCACAGTTCCCTGGGAAGTAGTGATGAGCTCTTCAGGGGTCCTACTCCAATGAAATCTTTCTACTGGGGCAGAAGTGATAGTTAAAAATAAAACAAAAAAAAAGGGGGGGGGAACACACCTGAAAAACAAAACCAAGCTGCTTTGCATTCTACTGGTGTAAAAAATTCTGTCTAGCAGAGGCTGGAAATGCTTAAGCATGGGACACGAGTGTTAATTTTCATTCCTGTTGCTTATGAGTTAACTTTTGGTTCTTGTTCAGAGCTGCACGCTCCTTTTTAAACAATTTGTCATGTTGATGGAAAATAGATAAGTTAATGCAAGAGTAAGGGAACTGTGATTGCTAGTGTTTCATAACATCTCACAAACATCCCATTTGTCATGAAGGGGAGATAAGCAAGGTAGAAGAGGTATGTTTCAAGTTCAGGTGAAGATCTGCTTCCAAGTAAACGTATAGGTTGAAGAACTTGCCTTTTTGCACTCGGATTATTCCCTGGGGTATGGCCACTGTTAAATCTGCTGACTTGGCTAAAGATCCTGTTCCTACAAAGCAGCAGGCAAATACTCATCAATCCTTCCAGAAGCTGTCACCCACCGCACAGCCAGGCGCTGAAATAAGATTCCAAAGACAGTATGTATAGAAACATGGCGGCTGCCTGGCCCAGCTCTCCTGTTAGCAATATAAATAAACCTGGAAGGGATTTTTTTTTTTTTGCAGATGGTTGGTTTAGAGCTCGGAGTTTACGCACCAAGATGTAAGTGGAGGCAGAAGGCAAAAGCCTGGTATTTGTAAAGTG